GTAAGCCACCATGTGGTTGCTGGGAATTGAACTCAGGACCTTTGGAAGAGCAGGCAATGCTCTTAACGGCTGAGCCATCTCTCCATCCCCTATAGGAAACTTTTAAACATAACTGAAATTTCAGAATTACTTACCGAATTCCAGGAAAAGAACAAAGAGAATGACTTCATCAATTAAAAAAAAAAGCAAAAAAGATAACACATTAAAGACTTCCTTTAGCCTTTGTAAAGGGATCCCTTCAGGAACTTTTATTTGTTTGTTCTTTGTTTTTATTTTATGAGGCAGGATTTCTCTGTGTAACAGCTATGGTGGTCCTTGAACTTGCTCTTGTAGACCAGGCTGACCCTGGCTCACAGAGATTCGCCTGCCTCAGTGGCTAGAAAAGTTTGTTAGCTCTTCTGGAACTGGAGATATAGAGGGTAATGAGTCATCATGTAGGTGCTGGGAATCAAATCTGGGCCCACTAGAAGAGCAGCCAGTACTCTTAACCATAGAGCTATCTCTCTCCCCTAAGCACCTGTGTTTCTTGGTGAATATTTAAGTTGCACTATAGTAAAATTACTTGGTATTTTAAAAATTAAATAAGTCATATTTTGCTGATAAAAAATGAATGAACTAACCAGAACCTGAAAACAACCTAAATGCCCCTCGATCAAAGAATAGATAAGAAAAATGTGGTATATTTACACATTGGAGTACTACACAGCAGAAAAAAATAACGACAGCTTGAATTTTGCAGGAAAATGGATGGAGCTAGAAAGCATTATTTTGAGTGAGGTAACCCAGACACAGAAAGACAATTATCACATGTTCTCACTCATAGGTGGTTTCTAAACATAAAGCAAAGAAAGCCAGCCTACAAACCACAATCCCAGAGAATTTAGATAACAATGAGGACCCTAAGAGAGACTTACATAGATCTAATCTACATGGGAAGTAGAAAGTAGAAAAAGACAAGATCACCTGAGTAAATTGGGAGCATGGGGACCTTGTGTGAGGGTTGAAGGGGGGAGGGGAGAGCCAGGGAGGGGAGCAAAGAAAAATGTAGAGCTCAATAAATATCAATAAAATAAGAAACAAAAAAAAGGTGAATGGACAAGAAGGGTGGTGGTGGCGCACGCCTTTAATCCCAACACTCGGGATGCAGAGGCAGGCAGATCTCTGAGTGTGAGGTCAACCTGAGTTCTCAGGACGGGCAGTGTTAAGCTGAGAAACCCTGTCTCTTCTAAAAACAAAAGAAGTGAATGAACAATATTAAAATGTGACTTCTATTGAACTCTACTATAAAGTAAGAAAAATTTGATTATGTAAATAAAATTTTAAAAATTAAAAGTATTTAATTATGCAGGCTGGAGTGTTGGCTCAGTAGGTAAGAGCAGTGGCTGCTCTTCCAGAGGACTTGGATTCAATTCCCAGCAACTACATGGCAGCTCACAATAGTCTGTAACTACAGTTTCAGGAGGTCTAACACCTTCACACAGACATATATTCAGGCAAAACATGAATTACATGAAATAAAATAAATATTAAAAAGTGTTTAGTTATGTTTACAAAATCTGTGGAATCCTGATTTCTCAGAAGTCTGACCTCATAATTTTTTGTTTGTTTTTTCGAGACACGGTTTCTCTGTAGCTTGGTGCCTGTCCTGGAACTAGCTCTTGTAGACCAGGCTGGCCTCGAACTCATAGAGATCCGCCTGCCTCTGCTTCTGGAGTACTGGAATTAAAGGCTTAAAGGCGTGTGTGCCACCACCGCCCGGCTCATAATATTTTTGTACATGCAATAATCTACCCCAACTCCTATACAATTTTGTTAAATGAGAATTTGAGTTACTATTATATTATTGTCCAATTTCATCGGTAATGTGAATTTTCCACTTACTTCCCTAACCTAAAGTTTGCTCCAATACCAAGACAACCGGGTAGATTTGTTACCCACAAATAAAAGATTAGTAATTTAGATATTAAGGCCAAGCTCTCCTAAATTAGAACTAACAGTTTTTTTCTCTTTATTTATTGGGTTTTTTGAGACAGGTTTTCTCCTTGTAGTCCTGGTTGTACCCAACTTGCTCTGTAGACCAGGCTGGCCTTGAACCTCTTAGAGACTGCCTGCCTCTGCCTCCCGAGTGCTGGGATTAAAGATGTGTGCCACCACTATCCAGCAAACTCACCACTCTTTATGAGGTTATATTTATAAATAAAATTGACTTTAAAAATCCACTAAAATTAGAAGATAATACTTTAAAATTTTCTAAACATTCAGTGAAATATTTCAGAGTGAAAATCACTGTAGACACAAGAGGAAAAAAAAGTGGATCTGCCTGGTTTTCTCTGTGTCTCTCTGTTGCATTTACTTCTTTGGGACATACTGAATTCTTTTTTGTTTTTTGTTTTTATTTGTTTTTTGAGACAGGGTTTCTCTGTGTAACAGCCCCGACTGTCCTGGAACTCACTCTGTAGACCAGACTGGCATTGAACATTGAACTCACAGAGATTTCCCTGCCTCTGCCTTCTGGGATTAAAGGCATCTGCCACCACCTCCTAGCTCATACTGCATTCTTGATTATTGTTTTAAAATATTTTATTTTCATTTTTTTATATTGGTGTTTTGCCTGCATGTATGTAAGTGCTCTATGTTTGTCAGTCAGAAGAGGGTACTGGATTGGTCGTACTGCAGTACAAGCAGTTGTGATACACCATGTGGGTGCTGGGAGCTAAACATGGGTCCTCTGTGAGAGCAGTAAGTGCCCCAACCTCTGAGCCATCAACCCAGTCTTGTTTTGGATTATTTCAATTGTAGGTATAAATCAAACTTGGATCATTATAACTAATAGATGTGATTTGATTTTATCCAGGTGGTTTTTTGTTATTGTTGTGTCCTTACTAGTTACTCTAGTTACCTTACTAGTTACTTCTCTCTCCTGAACCCTGGCTTTCTTGCTTAGTTATCCTTATCTGTTATCAGATTCTAGAGACAAACACCTCACACTGTGGGACATCACACATTAGACCTCCACACACACAAAGGTGTGATGCTTGGCCAACAGGAGTTTTGAACTGAAGTTCTTCCCACAAAAGATCTGCATCTCAAAATACTATATGTGTATGTGTGTGGGGGGGGCAAGAGATGGCTCAGCAGTTAAGAGTCCTGGGTTCAATTCCCAGTAACCACATGGTGCCTCACAACAATCTATAATAGGATCTGATGTCGTCTTCTGGTTTGCAGATATATATGCAGAGTACACATCTATGAAATATAAATAAATAATTAAAAATTAACAAAACTATTTTATAAGTGAGATTGATTAAAACTTCCACAATTAGGGAGAACTGGGATGTTACTGGTTGGAAGACAAATTATCTTGGGCTATTTTTAGCCACCTAAAAGTCTATGTATTGCTCATCTCTGTTTGTGAGTTTTTCTTAATATTTATTTATTTATTTATTTATTTATTTATTTATTATGTATACAGTATATAATATTCTGTCTGTGTGTATGTCTGCAGACCAGAAGAGGGCACCAGACCCCATTACAGATGGTTGTGAGCCACTATGTGGTTGCCGAGAATTGAACTCAGGACCTTTGGAAGAACAGGCAATGCTCTTAACCACTGAGCCATCTCTCCAGCCCTGCTCATCTCTGTTTGTGACCTAACATCTTCATATTAGTTAAGTCTTTAGGGATGCATAAACAGATCAGTAACTTCCACCAACCGAAAAGCTAAGAATTGGCCAGTAGAGGACATGTACGGCCCATAGCAGATACGTTCTTGCTTTTCTTTCACCAACCTCCTCGCTGTTTCCACCAGTGTGTGTGTAAGTGTTCTTGTGTATGCACATAGGTGTGCAGGTGTAAGCATGTGTGTGTATGCTTGTGTCTGGAGGCTAAAGGTTGATGTCTGTCATGGAACCTTGAGCATACCATTTCAGTAAGACTAGCTGGTCATGCTGCTACAGAGATCCTGCCTCTTATGCATCCCTAGCAGTAGTATTACAGGCACACGTAAATATGTATGGCTTAAACACCCCCCCCCCGCAAAAAAAAGGTGCTTTGACTTTTTGACGATAGACTAACCGGTAAGTTGATATAAATCCTTTCCTCCCTAAGTTGTGTGTGGACAAGGTGTTTATTACAGTAACGGAAATCAAACTACAACACGTGCCAAGCATTTAATTTATCAATCTAGCCATCAATCACCCCAGCCCCCTCCGTTAAGTTTGTTCTCTTGGTATAAAGATTTCAGTAAACTATTTCCAAGCTGGAATTTGTGATAATAAATCTATGTTCCTAAGCCATGACCACTCATATTTGGCTCTAGAATAAACTCTTATTCTCTTCGAGGTGATAATTGTATTTTTGTGTCAACAGACTTAAAATTAGAGTTCAACCTTCACTGAACTGAAAATAGCTTTACCTGACTTGAAGTATAATGGTACGCTTCCCTAGCACGTACAAGTCCCGAGGACTTCAATGAAATACACAGTCAGATGAAGGAAATCAAGCCATAAATACAATTACGTAATTTATTGTAGTTAGAGACAGGTAGAGGCTTGAAGGGAGGCGGCAATAATGTTGTTTAAATCCTGTAGTTCAAAAGTGACTCCAATATAAAATACTCCTTCCTTAACGAGTGTCTTTTGCTAAGCTTATATGGGCTAATTTAGATTGTGAAGCTATAGTTTTGGGAAAAAAATAATCCTCATGAAGCCGCAACTGGTTGCGAGATGGACTACCAATCCCATCATGCAACGCTCTCAATTCGCGACGTCGTAGAGGAGGCGGCTAGAGCAGCCACCGTGCATTCTGAGTCTTGTAGTTTCTGGCCGCGCGGTTGACCGGGTTGGTCCACGTGGTGAGTCTGTCTGCAGCTCCCCACCGCTGCTGAGCGAGGCCCTTTTGCGTACCGGCGTCAGAAGGGGTGGCTGCCACCTCCAGAGCCGCTCGCAGGTGGGGCGGAGTCAACGTGAGGCTTCGCGACGTTTTTACGACAGCGGCTGCCGTGTTCGGCGCCCGCCCGCCCGCCCTCCTCCTCTCTCGAAGGGAGCTACCGGCTGTTGTGTGGCGTCGCTGGTCTGTCGGGGCTGATGGCAGCCTGAGTGTGCGTGAGCGCGTGTGGGAGAAGGTGAGGCTCGGACGCGCGTGGGCGATGAGCAGAGCCAGCCGTGGCCACCCCGCGCCCGCAGCAGCACGCGCGGCCAACCGCGCGCGACCCGGCGCCCCGGGAGCGCGGGGACAAGGGCGGACGCCGCTCCCCGCCCCCAGCGCGTCCCTCGGCTGTCGCGCGCCCGCGGGGACCGCCCGGCTCTCCCCTGGATGTCCCCGACGCCCGCGCGGGGCCTCCTGCCGTCGTCGCGTGAGGCGGGCTGGTGCTGCGGCCGGCGAGTGTAGCTCGGGGGCTGCGGCTGCCGCTGCCGCGCGGCCCGGTCTCACCGCTGCCCTCGGCCCCCCACCCCAGCACCCCGGCCTCGGAGGCTGTGACAATGGACTATGACTTTAAAGTGAAGCTGAGCAGCGAACGGGAGCGGGTCGAGGACCTGTTTGAATACGAGGGCTGCAAAGTTGGTCGAGGCACTTACGGGCACGTCTACAAGGCGAAGAGGAAAGATGGGTGAGTGTGGGTGTCGCTGCGGGTGTCCCCGAGGCTGAGAGGCAGGTGGCCGGCCTGGTCCCCACTACCTCTGCCCCTGTCCCGGCCAGTCTGCTTTGGGGAGGAAGTGGTGTCCGTCCCAGGAATCTAAACCCACAAGAAACCCTGCGTTCGAGAGGGAGAAGGACCATGTGTCTCATGGGCAGTGTACCTTTTTTTGTGAATTTCAGTACAGTACAGTTTTGTTTTAGTCGTTATAAAATACATGCTTTTCTTTGGTCGATTTATCGCGGTAACCTTTTGGGGACTAACTCACCCGCCTCTGGAATGACATCCATCAGTCTGGAAGAGAAGCTGAGATCTTTTTCCCCTTATCAATTGTGAACAGTTGATGACCAAATTTGGATTTGATTGGGGGGGGCGAAGAAGAGTGAATGTAGGTCTGGAGAGTTCCATGGAGGATCATCTGCAATATAAATTCAGCAGTTGCTCTTCAGGTATCATTAGCTGTGAGTTTTTTATATAGAACAATGGGGATTTGGTGCAGAGTGGATGGTTGTGGGGGGAAAAAAAAACAAGTGACAGATAGGGGCTGTGTTGTGCAAGCTCTTTAACCAGAATTTATCAGCTGTCAGTGAACTTTAAGTAATCCTTTAGCTCTAGATAGTCTCCCCTAGAAACAAGAAAAAAAACCTATGACTGGTAATGCTCTCAATTTTGCTTCTTAACAGTGAATTGAGGCCCTCAGTTTTCCTTTGTCAGTAAATGACTTCATTGTAATATTAACAAAAGGAAAAGTAATTCTCAGTTGGGGAGAAAAAATTTATTAATTTCCCATCTTTCTCTTGTACACGTAGGTATTATCTCTGTTGCCTTTGACACTAGGAAATTATTGGAACAGATTGCCGTAGCTTATTTTTTTTTGGATTTATTAGAAACGGCTTTCCTTGATCATCCCTTGTTTGGCTAGTTGCTAGTTCGCTGTTTAGAGACGACGTTTTCCTATTCATGGAGTGCATAGTCAGAACCGCATTAGCACTACGAAGTGACACCGTTAAAGCTGCAGCGTTCTTTTCGAGGGAGCTTATTTATAAATACTTCAGTAGTCTGGGTAATGGAGAAGGAAGTGTCTGCTTATTAAACTCTTAGATTTATCAAACCGTCTTATAATGTATTTCAGTGCTTTTGTGCAGCAGTGAAGCCATGCAGATAGATATAGGCAGGGGTGGAAACTTAATGCTCTGGGTGCCGTGTGGCCTTATGTGTACTCTTTAGCAGAATGGATAAAGCAGTGAGTGACATCCAGAGCCCTTGTTGATTCTTGTCTAACTAGATTTGTTTGTCAGCATTTTACTAAAGAATTATATTTAAAGAAATCATCTGAATTTGTAGCATAATATTTTTCAAAAGGGTTAAAGCATCTTTCATTTCTCAGTATGACACAGTTTGGGACATGGTCATAAAATCTCCACTCCCAAGACATTTGATATTGTGGTACATTTGGCCAATTTGTCATAATTTTCAGAATGCTAGTGATTTTTATGTTTTATTCTTGTGAAAGGAGCCAGTTCTGGTTTCATAAATTGCTAAGTTACGCTAATAAAATACCAAATGTGCTTGATTGTGGGCTTTTTAAGTATATAATGTATACGGAGGCAGGTACTTTAAATACCTTTTACATCTTGATGGTAGGTTCCATCTGGGCTGTTAAGAATAATTTCAGAAGAAATGACATATCTTAAAAGTAGCTGGTGTTAGTGTGTATTTCTTAATCATTTATTGCAATTGCAGATGAATATTTGCATTTGGTGGAATTTGTTTAAAGCTGTAATCCTTTGGGTTGGTTTTCCAGCATCCTTTAATGATTCTGCTTATTGTGACGAACCTTAGTATTTTTGGTAGTGAATCAAATGTCAAGAGAGTTTTAGAATGAGAACAGTTTTGTTTTCCACAGGGAATACTGTTCCGTTTGGCTTGTTCATAAGTCCAGACTAGTAAAGTGCTACGTTATATTTTTGAAGTTTTTGAGCTTATGTCATTGAATCATAAGTTGCATTTTTAGACTTGCTATATAATAAAATTTGTGGCTGTTTTAATCTTTTATAATAAGATGGTCAAGTTATTTGCTTTTGGTAGTGATTTGCTTTCAAGTTAATGATATATTCTGCCGCTGAGATGTCATCAAGATGTAGTTTCTCAAGGAACCTGGGCAGGCAATAACACTTTGCAGAGATTCTAGGGCCCTCCAGTAAAATTAAATAATGAAGATTACCTTTGCTTGGACATACTTGGGTATTAAAATGAATACATGAAAATATTTCTTTCAGCTCTACAGTAAACAGAATATGAGCAATTAATAAAATAATTTAGAATAGAGGAATTAGCTTGTTAAATTATTAAAATTTAGGAAATAACTTTGACATAATGAGTTAGTAACACTACCCTTCTTGTATACCACTTGCCAGATAAAAATCAGCATCCTAAGGAATGCAGGGAATGGGGAAGTACTTTAAGCATGACTGTATACAGAGATAAAGGATCTTTTATAATCATGCTAATTTCAGATTTTTAATGGAGTTAAAAATAAGTTCATGAAGTACATCTTGAAATTAATTCATTCTTTAATGTGCAATAAATGAGATAGCATCTTTCATTCCTTAATACCCAAAGAGTACTCCTTAGGGGGCAACCAAATATATGTTTGAAAGAATGGAAATTTTTTTTTTTTCGGTTTTTTTGAGACAGGGTTTCTTTATGTAGCCCTAGTTGTCCTGGAACTAGTTCAAGACCAGACTGGCCTTGAACTCAGAGATCCACCTGCCTGGAAATTAAGGGCGTGCACCACCACTGCCTGGCAGAATGGAAGAAATTTAAGATTTAAAGTTTGTTTTTAAGATTTTCTTCATATACTCACTGGACATTTATAGAATTAAAAATTTAATTTATGGACTGGAGAGATGGCTCAGTGGTTAAGAGCATTGCCTGCTCTTCCAAAGGTCCTGAGTTCAATTCCCAGTAACCACATGGTGGCTCACAACCATCTTAAATGAGGTCTGGTGCCCTCTTCTGGCCTGCAGGCATACACACAGACAGAACATTGTATACATAATAAATAAATAAATATTAAAAAAATTTAATTTGTCCAGAAGTGGTGCTGAGTGCTTGTAATCTCAGCTTTTATGAGGCTAAGGCAGGAAAATTGAGTTTTAGACTAGCTTGGGCTGCTGAGCAACACCCTGAGGTAGGTTGTGTGAGAGATTGTGTGTGTGTGTGCGTTCACACACGAGAGAGAGAGAGAGAGAGAGAGAGAGGGAGAGAGAGAGGGAGAGAGAGAGAGAGAAAGAGAGAGAGAGAATATTAAAAAAAAATCAACTTGGAGCAAGAGTTTCCTGGGGGGAAGAACAGAAGTGGTTTATTTTGTTTGTTTTGAGATAAAAGTCTCACTGTGGAGCTTTGACTGTAGACCACAGAACAGGCTAGCCTTGAACTCAAAGATCTTGCCTCTGCTTCTTGGGACTTGGTCCCACCAAAGTATTCTTAATCTGTTATAGTTATGTTCAGTAGGCCAAAGAGGAGGTAGGGGAGGGAGAGAGAAGCAGGAAACTTTGGACCATGTTTGTGGAAAACTCAAGAAATTAGTTGATAGAGGTAATGGTACCAGTCCTAGGTCCTGGCTGAAGCACCCTACATTTATTTAATTTCATAAGAACTATCAATCCTATTATGGTCAGTTCACATACGAGGAAACTAAGCCATTAAAAGATAGGCAGATTTGTCCTGTGAGTAGCCATGTCAGTTAGGACTTGAGAACATCTTTGTAATATGTGTATTCTGGAGCCCGTGTGTCCCCATCCCCCCTTGCTTTGTAAGCCATGCTGGCTTGGAACTCACAGAGGTTTGCCTGCCTTTGCCTTCTGAGTGCTGGGATTAAAGCAGTGTGCTACCACACCTGGCTGCAATGGAGCCCATGCTCTTAACCACTTTGCTTCATATAGTTAAAATGAAGACTCCAGACAGCATCCCTACCTCCATTGACACTTCAGATACCATCGATCTGCTCGCTCATATAGTCCAAGATGACTTGTAACCACTTTGTGACTCAGGCTGGTCTTGAACTTAAACAACCCTACTTCAGTGTCTTGTGCTTTTTAATTTTATTTTGTATGTATGAATGTGTACCACATACATGATTGCTTGAAGTTATGGATGGTTGTGAGTCATAATGTGGATGCTGGGAATCAAGCCCAGGTCCTGCCTAGTAGTGGTGGCACATGTCTTTAATCCCAGTATTTGGGAGGCAGAGACAGGCGATCTCTGTGAGTTCGAGACCAGCCTGATATACAGAGTGAGTTCCCGGACTGGCTCCATAGCTACTAGGAAACTCTGTCTTCGGGGGATGGGGGTGGGATATCCAGGTCCTCTGCAAGACCAACAACTTAGTTACTGAGCTGTCTCTCCATCCCACTCAAGTTTAGCATTGATTCTCATAAGTTGTCAAAATTAAAGATAGAAAATTGGGCAACTTCCAAAGATGCAAAAGCTACCCAACATTCATTTTGCCACCTTGACTTTGGGTTAATACCTGCTCCCATGGTTGTCTTGTTGTTGGGGAGCCAGTACGAGGGACTCCCCTTGCCCCCACGACAGGGTTTCTCTGTAACTTTGGAGCCTGTCCTGGAACTATCTCTTTTAGACCATGCTGTCCTTGAACTCAAAGAGATTCTCCTGCCTCAAGTGCTGGGATTAAAGGTGTACACCACCACTGCCTGGTGCACAAGGGACTCTTGATGCAGTGTTTATTGTAGTTTTGATTCTTTGGATATACATTAATAAGTGTTTCTTACAACCTTTAAGAACGTAATGGAACTTTCATGTAATTGAAATATAAAATATAAAATACATTAGATTGTGCTACAAAAAAAAGTAATGGAAGGCAGGCAGTGATGGCAGAGACAGGCAGATCTCTGTGATTTCAAAGTTAGCCTGGTCTACAAAGTAAGTTTCAGGACTGTCTCCAAAGC